TGTAGTAACACTTTTACAGTAAATATAAACCTGTAAACAACAAAGAAACAATTCTGGGTTCTGAATAACCAAGTCCTCTCCTAGTTATACAAGGGACTATTCATAATTTATGGCTGGGGGAGTGGTGATGATTTTTATGGAGAAGCATGTACAACGTGAATGACCTCCCCCTAAAAAAAAATATGAACAAAGTAAGTCCCCCCCCTTGCATGTCATGTACAAAACCAATTACCCCCACCCCCTTCCCATAATTTTAAGCATAATTTTTTTATTTATTTTATGTACAAGACTGCTGACCCCCCTAGTACATGTTTACAGAGTTGATGACCCCTCCTACCTCCCAAGAACAAAATGGGTGACCCCCCCTTCAAAATCATCATCAACAACACCCCCATCCCCAAATCCATAACTTATGTACGGTCCCTAATCTTAGTATCCTATAAGTTGAAAATTGAGCAATGTATGGTTTCTTCATACTCTGGTCATGACCTTTACAATGTATAAAACATTAAATTAACAACAATAAATTAACTGTGTGTTAACAAATAACACTGTATCTCTAGATATTATTGACCTTGCTATCCTTTCATCATCCTCAATAATCTCCTGGGTATACGTTACGATCACTCTCCACTATACCCTGGATGCATCCACGGCTTAGCCCTATGATTTATTAACTCCCTTGGCTGGCTTTTTACCCAATCAGGTGTCTACGCTGGGAAGTTGAGCGAACCAATCACAACTCACTTTCGCTTCTTAAATTATCTAACCGTTTAAACTTGGCAACACAATTGATGCAGAGGTACTCTGAAAGAGGTAGAAGGAGTTCTTTCATATATTTTTTGTAAGTTTCAGATCTGTCAATTTGTCTGTAGGATTGACTCTGTAGGAGTGGCACTGCGAACAAACCTTCGCAACTGAGACCGCTATCTTTGTCGACACTGGCAAGACCGGATGTAACGGCAGCTTAGCTGATTGGCTACTGTGAGAATGTGGAGCCAGCAAAGGGAGGTAATATAATTAGTCGGCTGATTTTAATAAATGACATCTACACATTTGTTTGGAAGAGGCTGAAGATTACTTACTGTGAGTGTGGTGAAAATGGAAGGGAGAGAGACTATCACACTGTAATGGTAGGGTTATTTTGGTCTTTTTGTAATTAGGCTTGTTTTAGGGTGGGGACAGGTTATCATATAGGCTAGGCTAGTCAAAAATAACACCTGAAATTTTAGGCCTTCAGTGGGCTGGTCCATTTAGCTCTTGAGGTAAGGACCCATAGGCACAGTGCCTAGTATGCTTCTTCCCCATTGTTATGCAATGAGATGGGCCAGTGCATGAGCATCTCTCATGAGCAGAGGATCAGTCCACTGAACTTTTCTTTGTAGGCATTTATTGGGTAATTTTCAGAGCATAGTTTTTTATTGGGTAAGAGTTATAGGTTAGGGGTATAAAAGGGCAGATTATTTTTCCTCTGCACCTGGGGTTTTACAGAGAAATTCACTCATTGTTTCTGTAGACTAGTGCAAACAGAGTTTTAAGTTTTCTTAAGTTTTAGTTTAAAGAAGAAATAAAAGTTTTTGGTTAGATAATGTTAGGTGAGTTAATGGTTTTTGTTTTATTTTGCAGGGAACATTATTTTGGGGAATTAACCTGGTAATAAAGGGCAATAGTATAGGTATGGTATTTAATAGGGTTTTCACTTTCACAGGATCCTTGGAGGCATTATTATTTTTGTTGTTTATTTAACTTAGTTTATTGTTGATTTTATGATATATATTAATTGAGTTGGAAATAAATTTATTTGGTTTGCAAAATCTTGTGTTTGGTTGTCATTATGACTTTAAACCCCTGAATCCTCCGGACCTGAGGACCGGAAACAGCATCCTCCTGTTACAACACAGTAAATCACAGAAACAGAAGACTACAAAGTTTAATCATGCTAATCAGTCTCATCATTCTACTCCATCGGGTTCAGGGAACAATGCTGAACAGAATTTATCAGCTGATGGTCATTCTGGTGACACAGGAGCAAATCAACAGAATCTTACAGACACATCCACAGATTCACCGGATCAGTCACAATCTAACACCAGTGAGAAAGATGATATCCCATCAAGTTTGCCTAGTGGCAAAAGCTCACATACTGAACAACAGTCATCGGCAGTTGAGAAGCCAGGCCTTTCACAACGGAACCAGCCATTTGATACATGGATAGGAGGTCTAGTTGAGTTTACAGAGACAGAGTTGCCTTCAAATTTGAATAATATGTTCATTGCTGAGGCTCTATTTAAGTTGGAAGCCAGCAAAGACATTCCAGCTGTGACCCTGGGGATGTTTGATGGAAACCCTCTGGAGTATATGAACTTTATTGAGAAGTTCAAAATTCCTATTCATAATAAACCTCATCTGTCAGATGATATGAGGATGATGTAGCTGAGAATGCATGTATCAGGTGATGCAGAGAGGGCTATATCTGGACTCGGTTCAAGTGGAACAATGTATGCCACAGCCTTGCAACCCTACAATGCATAAAGTACTATGCAGATGTGAATGCCAATGATAATCTATGGAAGATTGTGATCCGGCTGCCATCACACCTCCTAGGGAAGTGGAAATTTATTGCTACAGATCTTAGAGAGAAGGGTGAAGTGCCTTCAGTGACTCATATTAGTGACTTTGTCAGAAAAAGGATCAAAGTTGAGTTTGATCCTGATTATGGTGACATTGAAAAGGGCAAGACAGATTGGAAATTAAATTTTCCAAACCCTAGGGATAGAAAAAGGGATGTATATTCACAGCAGCAAATTAAGAGAGCACCAAAGTGTTACATGTGTGAAGACGAACACCGAGTTTCTGAGTGTCGGAAATTTGTTAATTCATCTGTATCAGAACGTGTCCAAAAGGTCAAGGATCTCAGACTATGTTTCAGTTGTCTGGTGAGAGGACACTTAGCTAGAGAGTGCAAGTCAAGGAAACAGTGTGTTACAAATGGCTGCAAAAGGACTCACCATAAACTGCTCCACATGGATCCACCAATAGCAAGCTCAGTCACGATACCTCTGGATTGTGATAGCATATTACCAGTAGTGAGAGTAATGTTCAAAGCACAGAATGGCAGAACACGAGAAGGGAATGTCTTAGTGGATGGTGGTGCAGGGACCACAGTCATAAGAAAGGATTTTGCAAAGGCTCTTGGACTCCAAGGCAAACCCAAAAGAGACTTTATTTGTCATTATAGTCCATTTGGCTCAAAAGCGGACCGAAGAATTGCAATCTAACTGGAAAACTAATAAACATATAATACTCAATGAAACGCTGATCATAATCAAAACATCAGACCAACTCTGTGATTTGTTTGCAGAAATTTATGTTCTAAAATTAAAAAATTTGTTTAACAAACTATCATTAAATTTTGACACAGTTCACTATTTGTTACGAGGGAGGAGTGCAGAGAAAGGGACAGCCACGTGTTAGAGAGGCATGTGCACAAGTGCCGACAAAGTGATTCATTAACCTATGCTGTGCCGTCTGCATTCTATCGCACACCTTGAATTAATGCAAGCATCTTGTGTCAAGCAGGGAGATAGATATGAGATAGGTATTCCATGGAAAAGGGATCCATCATCATTGCCAAACAACCACTTTCTTGCCGAGAAGCGCCTCTGTTCTCTGGAACGCAGTCTCCAGAAAGACGAAGCAAAGGCGAAGATGTACAATGACGCCATTCATGAATATGAACAGAATGACTGGGCTGAGAAAGTTGATATGAGTAAATCACATTGTGATCAGGGACCTGGTGAGTGTATTATCTTGAATGTTGAAGTTTCAGAGACGGTCAGGATGCACTCTTCAGGTACAAATATCAGTCTTACAATATATCCATTTTTGTGGCAGTGTACTATACTATTTTCACATTATTTTTGCAATTACAGGAATGTTCAATTATTTGGTCACGTGCAAAAGTGTATCCTATTTTCGTGGTAATGGTGCGCTCTGATACATTGTGTTTTGTAACTATATGGCAGATTTCTGTTATAATGTCAGGATTTTAGAGTCAGTTTGTAGTTTTAGAATCAATATAAAGTCAACATGCTCAGTGTTAATTCATGGAATTTACTATATGTAGTTTTGCTAGACTTTTTCGTGAAACTAGGGAGCAGTCATTGCATGACAGTGTCATGTATTGTGAACTTATTGCTGCAGTTTCATTATAATGGGATATTTATAAATGTTGTTTCATGATAATAAGTGCTAGATACAAGTTGATACATTGTATCATTCTGTTATTTCAGAACCTGGAAGTAAACATCGTTGTTAGAAGAATATCTCGACCAGTGTTTTATGGTTCTTTCTATATAATTCCTACCAGGCCAAGCCGTGGATGCATCCAGGATATAGTGGAGAGTGATCGTAACGTATACCCTGGAGATTATCGAGGATGTCCTTTCATGGAAATCAGCATTTAAATACATATTTCATATCAGTTATATATAACATTGGTTATCACATATATATTTCACATGTATATATATATATATATGTTAATATATGTTATTTCATTATACTTCAATAGACTTGCAAAAATTAAACATTGAGCACAATAACACCGGTAGTATTTGGTGGATATTCTCTTGCTGGTTAAAGAGATACCAGAAAACAAAAACAAAAACATAACAGGGTTTAAGTCACTACAGTCACCTCAAATATCTCATCAGCCAAAGTATTGTTCCAAAAACAATCTGACTTATGTGAACTTTGTGTGTGTTAGAAGTCCTCCATTATCATCTGCATATTGCACGGGTGGACAAAATGTCACAAAGCCAAAATTCATTATGAAGAAATCTGTCACTCAGCAGAGCACTCATACTCAGTTACAGGAGCTACACCACAATAACAATGTCATTTACAGCTTTCCTCAACTCAAGTGAGGATACAGCCTTTTGGAAATGAAGGGATGTATTTTCTCACCCGGTAACAAAAAAATCACTTTGGTAGTCTTGTTATGTTACTTGAAAACATATCATGAGTGATATATAGTGTTGAAGTTAGTTTCAATTTGTAATCCTAATCAAATATGAAACTTCCAATTCAACAAATAGATGTGGTCCATCCCACCACCCCTTGTGTATGCAACAGTAAACCAACATGTCAGGCTAGTGGCATTTAAGCCAACTCACCAGGTGAAATTCTCCCGTGTCAAACTCACTCACTCCCTCACTGAGTCAAACCTATGTTTTTCAGGGGATCGGCTGCAGCTTCCTTCTTCCTCATGTCTTTCATGTATCCCAGAACCTCCAGGTTCTTCACGTACCTCACTTCCTGCGTGGGATGCTTCTTCTTCACGTGTTTGCGGGTATTGCCGCCTGTCGCACATGTGAACGGGCAGTAGGGACACTGGAACGGCTTCAGCCCCTTAAACATGTGCTGAATGGATATATGCTCTTGAAGCCGCTTTGACGTCTTGGTGATATATGGACACTGGTTGCAGGAGTACTTCGCTTCAGAGTGCAGCCACTCTTTGTGGCTACGCAGAGTGTCACAGTTGACAAAGGTCTTCCCGCACTCGTCACATGCATAGTTTCGAGTATTTGTATGTTTGTTGACGTGGGCCTTGAGTCTGCTCTTCATCAGCGTCTTGTAGTCACAGAAAGGACAGGCGAACTCCTTCCTCTTGTCGAAGTCAGCCCTGACGCCATGAATTCTGAACAGGTGAACTGGAATACAATACCATCCTTTGTAACAGCTGACATTCTCATTGCACTGACCACGCTCACTCCAATTAGACAATTGTAACACTTATGCTTTAAAACAGAATTAAAAGTCATAGCACTGAGATCGCTTCGTACAACAGCACCCTGGGCCCTGTTCCACAAAGACAATCGTAACTCACACTTTAATATAGACCTTAGACAGTCATAGCACAAGATCAATTTGCACAATAGCTTCATGGAACCCATTCCGCTAAGACAGTCACAGTGCTAAGATCACTTTGTGAAACAGAGGCCTTAATAATCTACATTAGTCCAGAGACAGTTCCTCTAACATTACTGCTACAGCTCCCAAACATGAGGGCTGGTAGAATTTCAAGCTTTCCAGATTGTGTCGTTATATGTCACCTAACCCAAGGGGTTTCTTGGTAAGAGTATATCACCAGAGCAACCTTTGTTTGATGTTTGATTAGTGAGTGAGTGAGTGAATGAATGAGTATGGTTTTACGCTGCTTTTAGCAATATTCCAGCATATATCATGGGGGACACAGGAAATGGGCTTCACAAATTGTACCCATGTGGGGAAATGAACGCAGGTCTATGCTGTGACAAGCAAATGCTTTAACCACTAGGCTACTCCACTTCCCCTGACGTTAAGAAGCAATGGGGTGGTCAGACTCAGTGAGTGAGTGAGTGAGTTTGGTTTTACGCCCTCTTTTCGCAATATTCCAGCAATATCACAGCGGGGGACACCAGAAATGAGCTTCACACATTTTACCCATGTGGGGAATCGAACCTGGGTCTTCGGTGTGACGAGCGAACGCTTTAACCACTAGGCTACCCTACCGCCCCCAGACTCAGTGACTTGGTGAAGTGTTAAATAACAACTACATGTCAATTATGTTAGTTATGGTTTCAGGTTAAGTATTTTCTGTTTCTGCCCAATTAATATTTATACACAGGCTGGATTGTGAAGTTACACAGAAGCAGACATGATGATCTGATATCCACATTAAATATAGGTCTAGATGTAATTAATGACATCTGAAACCACTAACATTAATAATTAATCCAAGACAAGTGAAATACATGTCCAATTAGTGTAAGTGAGAGTTTGTACATGTTTGATGCCTGCACATAACAAGTAAATAAAGAGATGTAAAGATATACAGGTACAGTAGTTGAAAAGGAAACATTGGTTATCATTGAGAGTGTTTTTGTAAGGGAGCGGTGGGGTAGCCTAGTGGTTAAAGCATTCACTTGTCATGACGAAGACCCTGGTTCAATTCCCCACATGGGTACAATGTGTGAAGCCCATTTCTGGTGTCCCCCACCGTGATATTCCTGGAATATTGCTAACATCGGCGTAAAACTAAACTCACTCCCCCTTATCAGTTTTTGTATGCTAGGTTTTTTTCAATTTGTCATACATATTTCTACGCAAACATTTGAAATTTCACCAAAGACAAATCAAAACCAAGTACACCTGGTAACTGGATGCAAAATAATTAGACAAACTATGAAGTAAACATCACTGCATGAAATATGACCTTACTGGCAAACTGGGCCTTGACATTGGTGCCATAGGGACAGTGTGTGCACTTGAACTCTTTCTCTGTCACATGCTTGTTAACGATGTGTGACTGAAGGTTGTGGTAGTCGCCAAATGAGTGGCCACACATCTGACACAGGTAGGGTCGGATGCCCAGGTGGACTTTGTTGATGTGGCGTTGAAGGGTTCTGGAACCAAACCATCAGCATTACACATTACGTACTCATGGATATATATGTACCTACTCAAGCAGATATTTCAGCCCCTCGTCTGCAGACAAAGTCATTAAAATTTCCAAATTGGAATTAAAAAGTCCTTTTTTATCTTATTACAGTAATAACATACCAATAATAATAATAATAATAATGTCATGGCTTAGACATCCATACTGTCAACAAATACAACATTAATATACAAGTCTCTGGTTGCAATATTACATAAATTGTTATGAATAAAGTTTCTAAGTTTCTAATCAAGGTATATCTTTGCTTTTGAATAATGGAACTCAAACCACACAAGAAATAAAAAAGAACTCTGATACATCACATAGGTATGAAAAATTAGAATCCAAATGAAACAAAGAACAGTGTTTCCCCAATAATAAATGACAACATTCACAGTTAGATCAGTTTATACCATTGAGTAGGACAGAAACACAAATTATTATATTATTATATGATATTTATATAGCGCACATATCCAGGCAACTAGTGCTTGCTCAAGGCGCTGGTATTTTTTCCCTCGATCATTGGATGTCAGTCTCAACGGCACATCGTGTTATCAATCTCAACTCCCTGGGGAGCATACAACTCTTGCAGCCACTAGGCGCACCGAGTTATTGTGGCCTTCTCATCCTAACGAGGTACCCATTCACAGCTGGGTGGACTGGGACACATAGTCACAGTACTTTGTCCAAGTTCACTGCATGTGGCTGTACCCGCAACTTGGTGTTTGCATGTATTCATGTGGCCACCATCTGGTCATATACCAACGGATTCGTGGGTTCTTTTAAGTGCACAGGGATGTGTACTGTACACTAGGGGTTGTGACAACACTGAAAGAGTCTGCACACAAAGTTGACTCTGAGGTTTTTTTACACCCGGTCACAGGTGGGCTCAATCCCGACACCTCAAGCTCGCTGGATCACTAGCCTGGCACCTTAGCCAGCTCGCCCACCTCGCCCCATGCAAATGCAATGCACAGCATAAAAATGAGTTGTACAACACATTTACATATTACCTTAATACTAGTACACCCAACGTGCGAAATTATATACATGTTGCAACTACAGCAGACCTTGCAGACATCGCCATTGTGGCAGAGCGACATTTGGAAGATTATTGTTGTGTGTAATTAAGGTGCTTGAAATCAGACAAATCTGAAAGCTCGGGGGGTTCAAATCTAGTGCTCAATTTTTGGACTGACTGAAAGACAACAGTGATGAGCTTACAAAAAGCCTGGAAACTTACGCTGTTGTCTTGAGCTTGATACTGCAGTACTGACAGTCATACCGTTTGTCTGTATGGACATTGCGGTGTGCGTCAAGGTTCGACTTGGAACAGGTCTCGAAACTACAGTCCTCAACAGGACACTTATACCTCTGCAACAAGAAATATTTACTGCATTTTGTTACAGATATAGGCATCAGGCTGTGTTGAAAGGCAACATGACTTACATAGCAGTGACACACATATAAAAGGCATTGTATGTTCATGACACACTTCAAGCTATCAAAAAGACTGGTGGTATTTTCATGCATACATAATTTGGTTATGCATTTCATTTTCAAATTGTTGGAAACATTTGGATTTGTTGGCATTGTTATTACTTGGCTTTAGTAATGGATCTTCAAAAAAATATAAAGTTAAAAATCGACAGGTAGCTAGATAACAATAAGAGAAACCTAGAAGCCTCCAAACCATTCTCTAATTCCTACATAGCCTAGTTCGGTACTGTATGGATAAGGCAATTGTTTTGGATTGATTTAGAAGACATTTTCTGAAAAAATTCATATCTATTACTTTCATCATGTTCATTTTTATAACTTTTAAACACTCTTCAAGTCCCTGGAATATTCCCCAACATTCCTTGTTCCAGGAAATATAGGAAAAGAGTACCCTTACACAGTGTATGAAATAAGGCCCGTTCGACCGCCCAAGATGGGTTAGATTTCTAACGGACGGTCTAGATTTACAGCTAGTCAGCCTGATGGTCTGGTAAAAATTTGAGATGTTCCATACATCTTGCTTGGTGTCTGGTCTGGTTAAATCCATTTTGGGCTGGTAACATTTTCTAGTTACCATACACTGCCTTACATAATCAAAGATGAAGCAGTGACCAATAAAATGATGCATGCTACCATGGTAACAAAACTTCCAGCCCCACCCACTGAATATAAAATGGTGTGTCCCAACTCATCCTCGATGTCCTACCTTGATGTCATGGTCAATTCCGTGTTTCCACTGCTCGTGCACCTTCTGATGGAAACCCTTAGGAAATCTCTTGCCACAGACCGAGCACACAAACCTCATCCTCTCGGGGAACAGGTGTTTGCGAGCAATGTGATTGTCCATCACACACTTCAAGTAGAAGGTAAAGTTACAGTGAGGGCACTTGTGTTCCACCGCTGGGTGGGCCTCCTTCACATGGCGCTCAACAGTCTTTGTCATCTTGTGGGAGAAGTCACAGCCCTCAACATCACAGCAAACCAGGAAAGACTTGTGCATGCTTATCTGACAGGGAATGTCATAAGTATTACATAGCTTACAGATATGACAACTTTGGCTCTTGATAATCAAATCACATCTTCAAACATCAATGGTAAATACTTAGCATAATTTGTTTTACAAGAAGCTCATTTTCATGACAGAAATTAAGTTCTTCCAATATTGTAACTCCCTTTTCACAGTGATTCATAAATGTTGAGAGGAGTAATGCAAACAAAACTGCATAGACTTTAAAATCTCGCACAGACAAAAGAGGCATTGGGCATCATATGCACACTGTATGTTTATTTTAGAGAAAGCAGGTTAGAGTTACCTGCCCTTGATATAAAATTTGGGAAATATGAAAGCTCGATACAGTGAGTTGTAAATGATACTGGATGGGGCTTGAATTCCATACTTTTGTGTTTGACCTCACTTTGACTTTGACAAGGGTCTGTCATAACAGCCTTTGTACAACAAAACAAGCACCTATTGCCAGTAAAACAAGCACTTGATGTGACAGGATTAGTACAAGCACCTATCATGGGAACTAGTCCCAGTAAAACGTACCTGTTCTGGTGTTAGCTGATGAACATTCTCCAGATGGACTTTTAAGGAATACCTGGATGACAAAACAGATCCACAATCTGCACACTTTGGACCACTAAAAGGACTTGGCATTGCTTTCGTAGCTTTACTCCTTGGTCGTGAACTTGATTGTGGTAATTCTAATTTCGTATTAACTAATTTGTTCATATTTTGCTTCATCTGAATCCTCAATAAGGTGGATTCTTGATTCATAGTGAGCAAGATCTTGGCCCTATTTGCCATTTGGCAAATGGACTTATTTCTGATATGTTTTTTGAGCACATGGTTCCTACAGATACTAATTAAACTGAACTCCTTGCCACAAACATTACACAAGTGCAATTTAGGGCTTGAGGTTGAAGTAGTCGGAGAGTCATTGCCACTTTGCTCAATATCTACTCTCACTGGGTGTGAAGATATGAAGTTGGAACTACAAATAAATGGATAATATTTCTTGTGAATCCATCTTGCTACCATCCTACAGGAGAGGAAGCTTGATCTTTTCATCTTGGGAATATTCAAAATGTGTGACATTGTTTTCGTGTGTTTGTTCATTGTCTTTCTTTTAAGGGAATGTGACTTGGATTTTCTTTTTCCTCTGGATTTAGATGGCTTGAATGTGTAATCGCTGTCATTGTCATCATCATCAACAAAGTCTACATCCTCTTTTCCAAAATTGATAGAAAATCCGGAAAATTCTTCATCAGAGTCCACTACTGTTCTAGAAGAGGGGTCAGTAAGAGAGCAACGTTGCAAACCCTGTGATTCTGTGGACACACATTCACTTTCACCTTGTGCGCTTTCTGATGGTTTGAATTTGGTTTCCAGTGTCTCTGTACCATGCTGCAGAGCGTCATGATTATGACTGGACCAATCTTTAGATCCCTCCATTTCACCAGTATGTGCCTGCTTGTGTCTGACAAAGGCGGACATAGATACTTTCAGTAACTCATCAACCTGGTCATAATCTTGGGACGTTATGCTGTACCCTGTGATCTGCTGTAGATCCTTCTGGTCAGCTTCTGAACAGCCTCGAAGTCCAGATTTACCCAGTGATTGGCCTCTTGGTCGTGACTTGCGTCTTGCAGTACTTTGTGGGGAAATCACTTCCTGCTTCACAGCAGGTTCTGGTTGATCAAGAGTCTCCATGCTCACCCCAAGGAGTTCCCTGTTGTCATCAATAAGTTGGACAATGTCCTGCAGCTTAAGAAGCTTGGCTGCTTTCCAGATCTTCCCTTGATTCTCTGGGCCTATTGCAAATTCTCCCTTGTAAATGTAATCCAGCAATATGGAAAGGATACAAGCTTCGACATCTGAAAAATATACAGAAAAGCGTTAGGCCATGTTACATATGGCCTTTTGTATTTGTTGGTTTTCTGACTACGCTTATGTGTGTATGTGTGTGTGTGTGTGTGTGTGTGTGTGTGCACTAGTTTGAACTAGAGCTGGTCACCTGAAACTACAAGTCACAGTTTCACATCGACTCCCTACTGTGATATTTTATACTGACTGAAAGATGCACAGTCTCCTTAATGCTGAGTACCAGACAGGGTAATAACAAGTACCATCTTTTGTTATACTTTGGTATAATAGCGGATTAAACAACCAACCTTTACGCTCTACAGGTAGACTCTGTCCATTGCACTGTGGAGGCTCATAAGTATGCTAACTCCTCAAAACTTTCAGCTTTGTACTGGCTTTGACTTTTCTGATGAGGTAGCTAAGTTCACTGTGGATGATGGAGGTGGTGGGGAGTCTAGTGGTTAAAGTGTTCACTCGTCATGTCAAAGACCCAGGTTCGAGTCCCCACATGGGTACAATGTGTGACGCCCATTTCTGGTTTTCCCAACCGTGATGTGGCTGGAATATTGCTGACAGCGGCATAAAACTAAACTCACTCACTACTATGTATGGACGAACTGATAAGTCAACTTTCTTTGATGTGAGCAAAAACCTGACCCTGGTAGTAACAATTTCCAGTTTACCCTACTAATTTGCTGGATTCCAAATGTCATGAGATCATAACTACAGCATTATGTTTTTGAGATATAATACCTAAGTTGACAACTTCTGTGGATGAACGAGAACCAATGGGTCCTTTCTTGAGGGATGCAAACTGTCTGAAATAGTCAGAATACAATGCCAACACAAGCCTGTGTGTGCGGAATAGTGTTCCATCTGAGCTGCAAAGGTGGAGGTCACAAAACGATTTTTTCCGGAACAAGTTCAGAAGTCTATTTTTTTGTGTGATCGGATGCCGGACATCTCTCAGTATCTGCATTGTGGTGGAATGGTTAGCACCCCTTGGTTCATTCAACAAGGTATACCTGAAAACAAATTAAACTAAGCATTGTGTATTCAAAAATTACAATTTAATTCAGTACATGTGGTTGAACATTGTGCTCGATTTATGTTAAAATTTAAATATCCAGACATATCTTGTTCCAGTTCAATTTCTAAATAATTCCTTTGTTTGTTGTTTAACACTGCACTCGGCAGTATTCTAGCCATATGGCTGCAGTCTGCAAATAATCAAGTCTAGACCACACAATCCAGTGATCAACATCATGAACATTGATCCACGCAAGAGTAAGAAGTAACTGATTGCTCTATCTACTTTTCTCAAAAGATATTACAAATGTCCAAGACCCATAGAATGAGGACAATCACTGGTAGACATAAATTGAATTAATACCATTTCAATTTATCTATGACATGACAGAGTGATAAATATTAATCATTGTTGTTAAGATTCAACAGAGACCATAAAATATTTATATCATGATCTGCGATTATAAAAAATATACAGCACCGAAAGAAAACAAATATGATTTGTCTGTGAATTTCCAAAATTTACTGAAATGATGAAGATATTAATTTTGTAAAAAATATTAAACTATATGTTATTCATGACTTGACTTAAAATGTTTTCTACTCAGAAATTATTTTCATGATAAAATAACATTAGAAAACATCATTCACAGATTTGACATTACACTTGTCCTGTCCACACAGCATTTATACTCTCTCAGTAGTGTTACACGCGTGCTACAGTACCATGCACATATATCTACACTTCATGGAAACTGCATATGGGTGACCTACTTCGGTGCACTTCGTTGAACATGTATTGAGAATGATGTAATTCCGCTGGGAAGTCTCAAAATATTTATGAAACATCAACAGATATAAGCGCACACACCTTACGTGGAGAATACCCGTATGTGCTTACATGTCGCATGAATTATGTATAAAGAATAATGAAGTGAAAAGGTACAGTCCACGTTCGATGTTAGATCGTCGCCGCAAGTGACGTAATGGTGTTTTCGTAATATAAACCACTTCATTTTATTTTAGGAGATATAATATCGCCAAACAAACTAACTTTATTAGTCATAAAAATATTTTAATTATATGTCTGCATGTTGATGTTAAGATTTCATAGCCACAGCACAAATGCACGCCTCTAACGTTACACTGGTGTTGTTGCCGTAATGCGCTGCCGATTTCATATAAACAGACAGACTCCCGTCTCACATGGACCAATGTGCTACTCTCTGTACGACAAAATACAGTGTTTTCTTATTCCATTATGTATTTTGCCGTCTGGTTTGACTAACGGCCTTGTTTAAGGTTGTACGTTATGCGATCAGTTAACTTCGCATAGGAAGATAAACTAAACTGAAAAATGTATTCGCTTACAATCACCACGGTGAGTCTGCCAGGTCGCTAAAACGACACGTGAGATTGGAAATAAAAGGATATTTGCCAAATGTACTATTTTTTCTGATTTTGTTTATCGCTTTATAGGTTTTAAAGTGGGAATTAGCTCGTACCTTGGCATATTGACTTTCAAAATGGTGTTATAATTACTTCCTTCGTGAAAACAAAAACATAAAGACTGCTGGTCGACCTCTACGATTTGTTTGTTTATTTTATAACGCCGCACTCAGCAATACTCCTGCTTTAGGACGGCGGTCTCTAAATTATCAAGTCTAGATTCAACATTCCAGTGAAAGAGCATCGATCTATGGACATTAGGATACGATGTCATGTCGACCTCAACCAACACTGTGACGTCATTTCATTGATGTAACGTCAATTGTTTATCGCGTCACAATGTGATTCGTTCTCTGGGTACTTTTTCGAGTAACTTCTTTGAGTGGCATTTTAGAAGTTGGTGTGATGAACAACGGGAAAAGTTCAATGCATGTACAACTATAATATGTTTTTATATTGTAAGCAACGTTTCGGTGTAGCTCGCCGCCATATAGCTGGAATATTGCTGAGTGCGGCGTAAAACTAAACTCACTCGGTGTAGCTGCTAACTTCGTTATCAATCAAGTGTACGACGCTACACCGAAACGTTGATTACATTTGAATAAAGTGGTTGTATATCCATAGAACTTTCCCGTTGTATTGTTTAGAGATCAAGTACACACACGTCCTCCTGTTTGAGCTGTTGGACAGTGCAGATAGTGCGATAAAAACTTCACCACCTTGCCACGTGGATATAATAAACCCTCTCTCCCTGTATCTCTCTCACACACGCGCGCACACACTATCCCTGCTATGTGACGACACTCCTTGACTGATACAGAGCAATGATCCACGCCATGGGTGTGATAAAAAATTATGAATCAAGTGCCGAATTTAAGTGATTCCCGTCAAATACCAAAAATTTCAACGTGGGAATACGTCCAAAGTAAACCGACGGTGCTTCAAATGATTTGAATATGTACTAAATACAAACTGTATGGGCCGAAGAACAAAAGGGCCGAAAAAAAGTCAAATGGGCCGAAATCAAAAGTAAAAAAGGCCGAAAAAGGGCCGAAAAATTAAAATGTAATAAATTACATAATAAAATTTATTATTAATGATTCTTAATTAGATCAATTAACCTTGTTGTTATAGGTGAAGAAGGCTGCAACACACGACCTGTTCAACTTCTGCCAGGTCCATAGCTGGGTAACCGGACAAAATCCCCCCAATATTGCATCGTAGGAACCCCACCCCAAGGCAAACAGTCCTGAGTTTAAGATATCCATTTATTTATTTGTCAGCAGGGGGTGGTGGGGTAACCTAGTGGTTAAAGCGTTTGCTCGTCACGCCGAAGACCCGGGTTCGATTCCCCACATGGGTACAATGTGTGAAGCCCATTTCTGGTGTCCCCCGCCGTAATATTGCTGGAATATTGCTAAAAGCGGCGTAAAACCAAACTCAGTCAGTCAGTCAGTTATTTGTCAGTGGCACACCATTTCATCAAACATCACTTCAAACATCAGTTCGCATACAGCGGCCAATGCCTGGCAAGAAATCTGTAGGCCAGTCAAATTAGCAAAAAGGTCGGAAAAAATGATGAAGAAATGAAACTTGGCAGATATGTTCTACAAACCTTCCTACATATCATACTAAAAGTCCCCTAAAATCCCACTCAAACACTATTTACAGGTTATGTAACAGGGCATCTTCAAACACGTATGATTAAAGATTTAAAAAAGATAATTTTCTTTTCCTATCTGGGAGCGTCTTCTCACCAGCCACATAACACAGCTAAAACAATCTTGTCAAACTCTTCTGCAATTGTTAGTGAAGCTGTTCTATCAAAACATGATAACAAGGATTAAAGGATTGAGTTAATTAAACCAATCAGTCCCTGCTCAGCCAATTAATCATCAGGGAAACATCAAAGGGGATTAAGTGTTGATCAAAGACCAGCAGAACCTTAATCTAAAGCTAAAGATGAGTAGGGAGGATTTTGTCCGTTTTTATGTAAAGGATTTGTGGGTGGGGTGTGTGTGTGTGTGTGTGTGTGTGTGCGTGTCCGTTTTCTTTGTTTGTTTGGTGCTTTTTTTCTTTTTTTTTTTTGGGGGATTAGTCCATGTTATGATAGTATGTTTTAATGCTATATGTCAATAAAAAATGAAAAACATTTGTAAACCTTTTTTTGGTCGGCCCATATGACTAAAAATTAAGGCCCTTTTAACATTTTTTCACGGCCCATTTGACTTTCACCACGGTCCATTTGACTTCATCACGGCCTTTTTGTCCTTCGGACCATTTGAATAGATCCCGTTTTGATTTCCATGACAAAACTGGCAGTCGCTTCTGTTGTACATATAACCGTCATTCAGAGGATGTTCTTGAGAATAAAACATGTTATTTGTTGTAAAGCAAATAATATTCAAGGGAGATAATGCAGCAGGTTCCCGTGATGTCACAACCTTGCTCAACACATGGCAGGCAGAATGTGCAAGAGTGCTTATTGATATAGTTGTCAGTTTAGCAACTCATTCCTTCAGAATCTAAACCACAAAGCGACGTGATAAGGGCACTGTTTTGAGCAATCATGGAGTACATGACAGACAACCAAGAGAAGTCCCTAAACACTATGTAAGTTTACTAACCTGTGGGCCAGTGTGGCACTCAGATGGCCGTTCATAATTATCATCATGATCATGTTCGTTTAAGGACCGTTCATAATTTATGACGTGTGTGTGTGTGTGTGTGTGTGTGTGTGTGTGTGTGTGTGTGTGTGTGTGTGTGTGTGTGTGTGTGTGTGTGTGTGTGTGTACAATGTGCAATGGGAATGACCCCCTAAAATGTATGTACAACCCCCCACCCCACCCCCATCCCTTGTATGTCATGTACAGAGTCAATGACCCCCTGCCCTTCCCATAATTTTTTAATATTACATTGAGCAAAATTGATGACAAAACACACACACACCCTTTAGTACGTATGTACAAAATTGATGACACCCCTACTGTACCTCCCCAGAACAAAATGGGTGACCCCCCTTAAAATCATCATCACCACCTCTAGCCCTAAATTATGAACGGTCCCTTATTTGGAAGTGATAGAAAGTTTTAGTCATACTGTTATTACTTGTAACCACTTCAGTAGATTTTGTCCTACTCTATTATCTTCAGCATATTTTGGAGTTATTTTTAAAATACATTTAAGATATATAAGAAATATGTAAGATATATATAAGAAATATAAGATATATAAGATAATATATATATATATATATAAGATATTGGGATATATATACAGTGAAGCCTCGTTAATCCGGATCCGGTTCGTTTCTCAGTAAATTAAAGTCAGTTAGCGAATGAATCGGACTACTGAATCAAGACCCAAGTTGCTTCCCTAAAATTCACAGCGACCACGAATCTGGATAAAACAAATAAGCATTTAATGTAAAGCCTAATTCATCACATCAATAATTTTACCGAGTGACATCCATGTTGATCGGCGTGTCTGATCCGTCCTTCCTCAACACAGGTGAGGTAATGTCTAACTCAGCGATCTATTGTAGTATGCCTTGAATGTCGAATTATTCCTGCATCCATCGGTTGAATATGATCGTGGTATTTGGTCACATTTCGCAAAGTTAGCGAAGGACACTTGTGACTTGCAGCATTGTCGTAAAGCAAAATCACTTTTAGTCCACATGACCGGATCTGTCTGTCAAAGTACATTAACCAATCAGAAAACAGCTAACTTGTCATCCACGCGTAAATGTACAGTATCTTCAGTCGGGAGCTTTTTATGTGTAATTAAAACAACAACCCAGCTGGCCAGTTAATTAAGTAAATATCGCCGGGAGGTGTTGTTACGGTTTGTGAACATGACTTACAGCGTCCGGACTGTGAAGCAATTTACTGTTTATTTTACTGATTGGTGACAGCTACTTACCGTCCGGTTCCGGGAACCGAATTTCCGGATTATCGAGGCAAATTATATAGGCATAGATTGGTAACAAGCTGAAATCGCCCGGGAGGCGAGACATCCGGATTATCGGAGTCCGGACTAACGGGGCTTCACTGTAAAATATATGATGCATGCCTGCTTGGTTACCCAGCAGTCATTGGTATCAGCGCAGAACCTATATGATCTGTATCACCATGATATTAACAGAAATTATGTTCAAAGCTTTGTACAATCATTAACCAAGGTGTACCTCCACCAGGTCTCTATTGGTCTCTCACTTTGTAGCTTGAAGTATAAGAGATAGTACCCGAGGCCAGAGTGACCATGACGCCTGTGAAACAGGCTTCCTAAGTTGCATGAACCTAAAACTAGACATACATGTTTTGTTGTTCAGACTTTGCTGTCAGTGTGGAACCCCAATAGAGCCAAACCCAACAAATACATGTGTAGCATGTCTCCGAGGACAGATTGACATCACAGAGGGAATCCCCAAACAGGCAGTGCTCTATTTCTGTCGTAAATGTGAAAGGTAAGCTTTATGTTTGACAAAGCAGCTACTGTATCTTAAATCACTAGGTACAAGTTTCTATAGTTAGCAGTCCTTGGTTCCTGGAGATCTGTCGCCTAAGCATTTGAATCCAGGGACCCCATCATGCTTCAACTTTAACACGAGGCAATGACAAGGACTCCTTGACTTATGTGCTTTAATTTGAACTCTTTGTTGCTCTTTCATAATGATACCCTGGGCATTTAGAACATTGATAAGGGTGGATGCTTACTATTTATTTTCAGAGATTGTCTTCAAGAACATGATCTTGTACTATTCATGCTAATGAATATGATGTTTTATTGTAGGTACTAACTACTTGTTTCTTGCTTAAAAACAGTGCTAGTACCTACACCAAAATATGCCATTCATTGTAAAAAGTAGTTTTATGTCAGTATAATTACCTCCCTTGGTTAAGAAGGTAAGATTTGTTCAGCAGACTTATTTAAGGCAAATGTACAAGTATGTGAAAGATTTGTCTCTATCTGGGTAAGGACTTGTACACTTTGTGGACCAAGAAACCAACACAAGAACTATATTATACATGTACTGTCAGGTATCTGCAGCCTCCAGCCACATGGATATCTGCCCAGCTGGAGTCCAGGGAGCTTCTGTCAGTGTGTCTCAAGAGGCTTAAAGGACTGGCAAAGGTAGGGCATGTTGAAGAAAGCCTCTTGACTTTAAAGTAGCAATGTCCTTGGGCTAGTTGCAGCCCTTGCAAATATCATTGAAGTCGTTCAAAACCTATGATGTGTGACTGTATTCTTTGTGACACACTTTTTTAGATTTATCAGTCAAACTGTTGAGATGTTTATCAATCAAAACGATGAGCCTTATTACTTACAGGAAAATTTTAATTTTGACAGTCAAAACTTGCAGCATGCCAGCATACCATGACACATGGTTCATTGTTAATGTTCTTGCAAAGTTTTGGTCATGTTTAGATTGGAACAGTTATGTTCCTAATATTATCATACTATATGAAGTTGTTATGCATAAAAATTAAAGTGATAATGATGTGTGGTGTCTTTTACTGGTACCTAATGAGTACTCTCCCTTGACAAAGAGCTTTGGATTGAGTGCTCCAACACAGTTCTTTTGAAAATGGACAAAAGATCATAACTGAAAATATTGAAGCATTAAAACAAAAGCCATCTGAAGTAACATTGTTTCTTTTACAATATGATGCTTTATTCATGAACCCATATGTGAATTCTCCAGTGTTTGAGTTTGACATATTTCTTCAGGTCAACCTGGTTGATGCGGGATTCATCTGGACGGAACCCCATTCACAGAGAGTCAAAGTCAAACTCTCTGTACAGAAAGAGGTGCACAATAACATTCACAATTTGTCATTTTTGTCATGAAAGTTGTTAGGGACCGTTCATAATTTATGGCTAGGGGGTGATGATGATTTTTATGGAGAAGTGTACAGTGTTGATGTTTCCCCCCCCTAAAATTCATGTACAAAATAGGTGACCCCCTGCATGTCATGTACAAAGTCAATGACCTCCCTCCCCTTCCCATAATTTCTAAGCATAATATTAAACATATTTTTATGTACCAAATTGCTGACACCCCTACCCCAGTACCCAAAATTGCTGACCCCCTCCCCACATTGCGCAGCACACACACAAAAGTTATGAACGGTCCCTCAGATTGAAAGGGAATTGTGTCCAAAACCCAAATACATATTTGATGGTTAAATATATTTCTTAAGTGTTAGATCCTTGTTTGTTTGTTGGGGCAATCACATACTCCTCAATATTCCATCTGTTTGTCCATGATCTGTTAGTACTTCGAGTCTGACAAGCATCTTGAGTGTAGATGGGTAGATGGGTCAAAGGATACAAATACATGCACTTAGACACTTCATGGATGAAATCAAGGAAAGTAACTTACAGTAATCTTTATGAGTGGAAATTGATTGTGTGAGACAACAGCAAGACCTATTTTTCTGTAATACATCTCTGTATTTCTCACTGATATGTGTATTTTTTAAACTTATCCTATCTCACGGTATGCAACCATCAGTATTCACCGAACTGCCAGCATTCGCCGAACCATCCTTTCCTCGGACCTTGCTTTCCAGCTATACTGATTCACTGAATCAGTTCGATTCGGCCATTATCTTCAGTCACATGATGTTACTTCCAACACGGCGTTTCTTCAGAACACACTGTGAGGTTGGTAAATCGACCTACGCAGACTTTCGGACAACAGCCGCCTTTAAGATACAGCAAATTTATATACTTATCCTATCTCATGCGATGGATTCCTGCCCAACCTCCCTGCTATGCAGATTATCCAAGACCAAGATTATCCTAGTGGCTCCAAGAACGAGAATAATGATCCAAAGGTGACAATTGGGTAGATAGTGGGGCGTGCTGCATGCTTTGGTTGACGGCTGGGAAGCTGTCTGATAAGGGGGGCAGCATGGAGTGCATGGGCGAATGTACAAGAGATGCCCTGGGAGAAAAGTTTACATCGTTCCACTCAGTGTGCAAGGCGATTGGGGTAACCTAGTGGTTAAAAGCGTTGGCTCGTCGCGAAGAGACCGGGTTCGACACATGGGCACAATGTGTTTAGCCCATGATATTGCTGGAATATATAAAAGCGGTAAAACTAAACTCAAGTCAGTCAGTCAGTGTCGAAGCAAGAGAGAGAAGTGCATACCATGAGATAGGATAAGTATATAAATATACAATTTATAGTTAAAATTTTCAATTTTGTACAGGTGATGAATGGTGCAGTGTTGCAGCAGGTGTTTGTGGTGGAGTTTGTTGTTAACAGTCAGATCTGTGAAGATTGTCAGCGTGTGGAGGCCAAAGACTACTGGAAGGCAGTGGTTCAAGTTAGACAGAAGGTACTCGTCTCCTTCCAGATTACAGCCATGTCAATCTCATTAAAAATCAAATCTTTTGCTTCCATATGATACTTCTCTGTGTGAAGATATTACGAATCCTATTCAAGACAACTTTCTACCTGACTAATCAGTTTCAAGAATTATGAATTCTTGGTATGAGTGAGTAAAGCATTCAGAGTAACTGATAAGTGTGTCTCATAAAATGAAGAAAAGTGAGTGATTCTGAATGAAAGATAATAAATGTTGTGATAGTATATTGTTGTGGATATTTTATACAGCATGGCATCTAAAAGGGCTTCACTGTAACTAGGATATATTTGTTCAGTGGTGTTTTCTGTCAAGACCGTTAAGAAATAAAGCTCATTTTTTAGAAACTTGCTTACTTACTCTTTCTCAATCAAGAATCCACATGTTCTTCATTTAGATTGAGTGATCAGATTTCACTCAAGGTTCACCCTATACAAGCTATTGAGGATTTGTCAGATCTTATAAACATACATAGTTATGATGGAATAAAAGATTTATTTTAGCAACATTCTTAGTAAAGTTGGAAAGTTGTTACCGTCATTTCCCTATGAAGCCGAGACTTGTGATCATGAATATGTGCAGCTAACATGAAACATAGGTCACTCGTTAAGCCACGTAGATAAGTCACAAAATTCCTTATATAGGGAGTATTAGTACTTTTAATAAAGCATGAAAAGTTTCATACTAGAACATTTGACTTTTGTTTGTTTTAATTTGATTTTCTTTGACTGTAGACTGATCACAAGAAGACCTTCTTTTACCTGGAGCAGCTGATCCTGAAGCACAAGGCCCACTCCAACACTGTCAACATCAAGCCAATATATGGTGAGGGCCTCTCTCATTCACCTCATGAAGGAGTTAGAATACATTCCATTGTGTTCCTCATAATGAAGAAATTGACATGTATATATTTGTCCTTCAGAATGCCATTCAAAAACCTCTCTAAAAGGGTTTTCCTTGTCAGCACACTTGCAATTACAACACATTTACTACTGACATTTCAGAAGTAATTGTTATTAGATGTTTCCCTTCAAATTTATCTTTAAATGAGTGAAAAATGATATCGTTGTCATCAGTAAAGTCTTTTGGAGTCATTTAGAGTCAGCAGTTTTGTACTTAAAAAATATTAAAAAGATATGGTTAAAAATTATGGAGGGGTTGTCATTAATTTTGCACATGCTTCTCCATAAAAATCATCATCATCCCTCTTGCCATAAATTTTGAACGGTCCCTAACAATAATAATGATTATTTCTGTAAGGGGGAACTGGTGGCTGATTTAAGGTGCAGCAATCTTCTGTGCAGAGTTGCCTCCCTTAGGCTAGCTAATAACCTGTGAATTGTGTATATTGAATCCTGGTTCATCTACATTGTGTTCCTAGGTTTGTTACCACCAAACTTAGGTTTCATCATAGAAGCAATGTCTGAGACATGCGGGCGGTGGGGTAGCCTAGTGGTTAAAGCGTTTGCTCGTCATGCTGAAGACCCAGGTTCGATTTCCCACATGGTTTCAATGTGAGAAGCCCATTTCTGGTGTCCCCGCCGTGACATTGCTGGAATATTGCTAAAAGCGGCCTAAAACCATACTCACTCACTCACTCACTCACTCACAAAGACATGCATTACTTCAAGCCTTCGACAGCCATCAACCTGAAATGCTATGATATAAATGAAATGCTGTTGAAAGTGTTGTAAAGTCAAATTCACTACATATATTGCTGAAAGTCGACTGAAACATGACATGACATGCTATATACATGACATTTTCCCTCCATGTCAGGTGGTTTGGACTTCTTCTATGCCAGTCAACAGGATGCCAGGAAGCTGACAGACTTTCTTTCAACATATGTGCCTTGCAAGTGAGAATACCAGTTTATATAGCTTTTTGACAAACATAAACAAATATTTTGAAGATGAATTTATTTCTTCATGGTTTTAGTTCCTTGAAGAATTTCAGTTCCAAGATAATGTTTCATGTGTTGTTGAGATGTGGGGTGAGGTGAGGTGAAATTCGGTTTAACGTCGTGCTTGAGAATATTTCGCTCATATGACGACGTGCATGCGTGTGTATGTGTATGTGTGGCTGCTTGTACTAGCCCAGACTTAAGCTGGTTTTATAGTGCTAGCCCACTGAGATACCATGCCGCAGTGAAGCATGAACACCCCACTCAGACACATTATACTGACTCCAAGCTGACCAGTCTCAGTGGTATGACACGGTTGGGGATCGAACCCGCGACAATTCCAGTCTCCGGGCAGAGGCTCTAACCACTACATCACGGAGGCGGTCTGTTGAGATGTGATTTTGTCTCAGGTTGTAACTGAACTGTTATGTTGTTTCGGGTGTCATTACCAAAATAATGTTGTTTCAGGTGTCAGTACAGTAATAATGTTGTTTCAGGTGTCAGTACAAAAATAATGTTGTTTCAGGTGTCAGTACAGTAATAATGTTTCAGGTGTCAGTACAAAAATAATGTTGTTTCAGGTGTCAGTACAGTAATAATGTTGATTCAGGTGTGAGTACAAAAAATAATGTTTCAGGTGTCAGTACAATAATAATGTTGTTTCAGGTGTCATGTTCAGGTGTGTGAGTACAAAAATGTCAATAATAATGTTGTTTCAGGTGTCAATACAATAATAATGTTGTTTCAGGTGTCAGTACAATAATAATGTTTCAGGTGTCAGTACAAAAAAATGTTTCTGGTGTCAGTACAATGATAATGTTGTTTCAGGTGTCAGTACAAAAATGTTTCAGGTGTCAGTACAATAATAATGTTGTTTCAGGTGTCAGTACAATAATAATGTTGTTTCAGGTGTCAGTACAATAATAATAATGTTTCAGGTGTCAGTACAATACTAATGTTGTTTCAGGTGTCAGCTGGCCAAGGAGCTCGTGTCACATGACCCACACAACAACACATACAACTACAAGTACACCTTCTCTGTGGAGATTGTTCCTCTCTGCAAGGTAGGTACTCATGTCATATTTGTCTGCTTCTGTCCTTTGCCTGTCCTATTGATGTTGCTTATTCTAGGAACAGTGGCCAGGTAGATAGTATGTGTGTATTTTGTGCTGACAGACAGTGCTGCAGTAGGCAATGTCCCCTCTGTGTGATAGGCTCCTTAATTGTTGACAGCTCCATAAAATACTTGTTCCAGACTGACTTGTTTGTCATTTCTAGAGCTGTGTGTGCTGATGTTACATCAGTATTGTAGAGTATTAGACTTCCTCCATGGTCTGGTGGATAGTGTTTGTCTGATGAGTGAACATTTGGTGTTTCTAAAGTACACCCCTTTGGCTAAAGCTGAGGAATGAAGAAAGCATAAGATATCCACAAGATTATGATCGTGTGGCATGTACTGTGATGTACTGTGATGTGCTGCTCTGACTTCCTCACTAGCTTTTACTGGGAATTAAGAAGCCTTAGTGTTGATCAGCTGATGAACAAGTTCACCTCCACATGGTGTCCTATAGAGAGTTCAGGTGTTTATGCAGAGAGTAGTATATTTAATGAGGTGTTTCTTTCTGCTGTATGCAGGACAACATTGTGTGTCTCCCAAAGAAGGTGGCCCAGTCACTGGGCAACATCAACCGCCTGTGCCTCGTCTACAAGGTGACACAGACCATTCACCTCATAGACCCCAACACTCTGCAAGGTGGGTAGATAATTTCATAATGACATTTGGGTGGATAGTTGTATTAGAGCAGAGGTGGCTGTTGGTCGTCTGAAGGTGGAAGTGTCTATTCAGACGCGCAAGCGTTACGTGGAACCCTTCCTTTTGTCCCCTGCTGTGAAATTGCTGGTATATTTCTTGAAGCATCAAGGGCGATGGGGTAGCCTAATGGTTAAAGCATCTGCTCATCTCACTGAGGACCTGGGTTCGATTCCCCACATGGTTGCAATCTGTGAAGCCCATTTGTGGTGTTCCCCTGCTGTGATATTGCTGGAATAATGCTAAAAGTGGCGTAAAATCTCACTCACTCACTCACTCATTAAATGGTTGTTGCATTCTGGTTTCAAATGTTTATATATTTTGTGATGTAACTCAAGAAATGACTTTAGTCCTTAGATTTAGTTTTGTTTTGTCCTCAGTGGCTGAACTGAGTGGCACAGTGTTCTGGAGAACACCTTTCCGGATTCTGTGTGGCCCAAAACAGCTCATTGAGTACATGGTGATGCAGGTCGACTACATCCCTGACAAGGACAGACCTCACAGAGTCCCAGCCTCTAACAAGGTAGGAGTCCACCCTCTGTGGGCATCTCTGCATTCTACATCAATCTACATGAGTTTTTAAGATTTATATTATGAGCTAAACTTAGCAAAGACTGATCCAGTTGAGCTTGACTTCAGTACAATTGATTATTTTGTTAAATGGATGGTATGTAAACATGTGCATGTTTACAGTATGGGATCATCTGCTTGATATTCTCCTTGATGATTTATTTAAAACAATACATACCAGAAGTATAGTTTGTTTGCTGCATATGGTGGCTGTCTAGAGCAGGGTTGTTTGACGCCTTTTTCAGGGAAACAAATTGCTTTCTCCGAAGCAGACACACATTTTTTAGATGGGCTTTTACCACAGGAATTGTATCAGTTTATTTTGTGTTTGTAGCATGTGTTGGCTGATCTCTGGGTAGCCAGGATGAGCGACCTCGGGGTCAATGACCAGCAGTTCCACTGCCGCACCCATCTTGGCCACCTTCTGAATGTTGGGGACTCTGTCATGGGGTAAGTTCCATCATGCGACAGAAACCAGCTTCTCATGTTGATTGTGTTGTTTTTGTGAATGTTATCTTTATCTGTGGTCTAAAGGATAGAGTATCTGCCTGGAAAGCAGAAGGTCAGTAGTCTGATTCCCTGGCCACATCTTACCAAAATATGTTAAAATATGTCAAAATATGTTGAAAAATTGTACTTGCTGTAGCTTCACCTTGGCGTTAAGGAGGTAAAACAGCTAGGCTTGGAGTCAGTATGCAGTGTCTTAGCGGGGACACATGTTACACTGTGACTGGTAGGCACTAGCACTGTAACATGGAGATGAGTCCAGGCTAGTATAAGCAGCCATACACAACTTGCTATATAAGTGCAATAACCTTGAACATGACATTTGACGCTCGGGGACAGATAATCTTTCATTCCTTTCATTCCTCTTTATTCTAAGAAACTGTAGAAATTGTGTGTTTGTTCTGTGCTCAAGTGGAAACATCAGCCAGTCCCGTGAATTGTCTATTCATCACGAGCTATGACTGGCATCTGTATTGCTTTGATACGAACCCATTTCATTTCATTGGACCATTTTATAGACACTGAAACCAGTGGAACAATTGAATGGGATAGATAATCAGCATGAAGCGAAGATTATAATGCTCAGTGAGGATTATTGAAAATTATTCCAACAATACCGTTGTCCCTAAGGATGTCTTGTTCTTCACTCTTGATGTAAGTAGTTATTGGGATACAGTATATAGTTCTTAGATTTTGTTAATTTTATATCAGTAGCGTTTTGTGTTTGGTTCATTGTGTCGCTTTGATAGATATGTATCTTTGAAGCATTACGATGACTGACGGTTTTCTTTCCAGGTTTGACTTTACAAATGCCAATCTGAATCACAAGGAATTTGATCAGATCAGTTCGGAGAAAACCCCTGATGTGGTAGGTTGGTAGGACATGGGACTCAAGACATAAGGCTGGGAAACTGTGGGCAGGAGAGTGATCTCATGACATAAGACTGGGAAACTGTGTGCAGGAGAATGATCTCATGACAAGACTGGGAAACTGTGGACACGAGAGTGATCTCATGACAAGACTGGGAAACTGTGGACAGGGGAGTGATTTCATGACATAAGGCTGGGAAACTGGGGAAGAGAGTGATCTTATGACATAAGGCTGGGAAACTGTGGACAGGGGCATGATCTCATGACATAAGGCTGGGAAACTGTGGACAGGGGCGTGATCTCATGACATAAGACTGGAAAAAAGCTGTGGACATAAGCCTGGGAAACTGGGCAGGAGAGTGATCTCATGACAAGACTGGGAAACTGTGGACAGGAGAATGATCTCATGACATAAGACTGGGAAACTGTGTGCAGGAGAGTGATCTCATGACATAAGCCTGGGAAACTGTGTGCAGGAGAATGATCTCATGACAAGACTGGGAAACTGTGGACAGGGGAGTGATTTCATGACATAAGGCTGGGAAACTGTGGGGAAGATAAGTGATCTCATGACATAAGGCTGGGAAACTGTGGACAGAGTGATCTCATGACATAAGGCTGGGAAACTGTGGACAGAGTGATCTCATGACATAAGACTGGGAAACTGTGGACAGGGAAGTGATCTCATGACATAAGACTGGAAAAAACTGTGGACAGGGGCGTGATCTCATGACATAAGCCTGGGAAACTGTGGGCAGGAGAGTGATCTCATGACAAGACTGGGAAACTGTGGACAGGGGAGTGATTTCATGACATAAGGCTGGGAAACTGGGGGGAAGAGAGTGATCTCATGACAAGACTGGGAAACTGTGGACAGGGGTGTGATCTCATGACATAAGGCTGGGAAACTGGGGAAGAGAGTGATCTTATGACATAAGGCTGGGAAACTGTGGACAGGGGCATGATCTCATGACATAAGGCTGGGAAACTGTGGACAGGGGCGTGATCTCATGACATAAGACTGGAAAAAAGCTGTGGACATAAGCCTGGGAAACTGGGCAGGAGAGTGATCTCATGACAAGACTGGGAAACTGTGGACAGGAGAATGATCTCATGACATAAGACTGGGAAACTGTGTGCAGGAGAGTGATCTCATGACACAAGCCTGGGAAACTGTGTGCAGGAGAATGATCTCATGACAAGACTGGGAAACTGTGGACAGGGGAGTGATTTCATGACATAAGGCTGGGAAACTGTGGGGAAGAGAGTGATCTCATGACATAAGGCTGGGAAACTGTGGACAGGGGCGTGATCTCATGACATAAGGCTGGGAAACTGTGGACAGGGGCGTGATCTCATGACATAAGACTGGGAAACTGTGGACAGGGGCGTGATCTCATGACATAAGACTGGAAAAAACTGTGGACAGGGGCGTGATCTCATGACATCAGCCTGGGAAACTGTGGGCAGGAGAGTGATCTCATGACAAGACTGGGAAACTGTGGACAGGGGAGTGATTTCATGACATAAGGCTGGGAAACTGTGGGAAGAGAGTGATCTCATGACAAGACTGGGAAACTGTGGACAGGGGTGTGATCTCATGACAAGACTGGGAAACTGTGGACAGGGGCGTGATCTCATGACATAAGGCTGGGAAACTGTGGACAGGGGAGTGATCTCATGACATAAGACTGGGAAAAACTGTGGACAGGGGCGTGATCTCATGACATAAGCCTGGGAAACTGTGGGCAGGAGAGTGATCTCATGACATAAGGCTGGGAAACTAGACAGGGGCGTGATCTCATGACATAAGGCTGGGAAACTGCGTGCAGGAGAATGATCTCATGACATAAGGCTGGGAAACTGTGGGCAGGAGAGTGATCTCATGACATAAGACTGGGAAACTGTGGACAGGGGCATGATCTCATGACATAAGACTGGGAAACTGTGGACAGGGGCATGATCTCATGACATAAGACTGGGAAACTGTCTCAAGACCTAAGTGTGGGCGAGAGGGGAGGAGGAGTGGAAGGGAATGTGAGTGAAACCGGTATGAAAACATGTTTTACCTGTTTAGACTTACAAGGATAGCACCCTCAGTTAACCCATAACCCAGAAGGAGATTTTTGTCGACCTTTTAACAGTGGAAACAACATTTATTGATACATGTTTAATATTTCGTACAAAAGTATGTTAAAACAGCCTTAAGTACAGCTCTTATGGAACCACCTATCTTCAACCATTTCTGTAGTCCAGTGGCCAGAGTGCCTGACTACTACTGATCATAAAGTTCTGGGTTTAATTCCTGTCTCACGTAATGATAGTATATGGAGCATGAACACCAGTGTCCATCCAATGTCTTGTGTAGAAGCTGTTACGCTTTGTGTTGTTTTCAGATCGTGGTTAAGAAGGTGTTTGACTCTTCAAAGAGAATCAGGAAGAGGAAGTGGAAACTAAAGCACCTGAGTGACAATGCTGCCATGGAAACAGCAAGCACAGAAAGGTAATGGAGATCTGGGCATACTGGATGTAAATCTGCTCCATCTTAGAGAGCTGCAGAAATCTCTCATAGATTAGTACTGTTGCCCATGGAGAAAGTAAGGAACAATTCAATTTAATGACTGAGCATTTATTTTTAATGTTGATATATTGTTTTATGATTTGTGTTGTAAACTATGTAACAAAGTGTTGTAACTGGCTTGTGTCCGTGGTGCAGCCTCCAGTGTGTGATGGTTAGTGTTACAATACATTGTTCTCTCTGCAGGGACTACAATGAGTTCCTTGAAGATCTGGAGGAAGATCCCTCTGTCAGACAAAATGTCAACATTTACCTAGGTGAGTCTCCCCATGCAGCTTGGACTAATGTGGTACATTGTGTCTGTCCTTCCTTATCCTATAGTCAGTGATGCTTTGTTGCACTGCTTCATATCGGCCTGTAAACTGATTTAGTATGTTATGTAAAACATTCCTGATTCACTGCAATTTGAGTTACTGTTAATGCAATACCATATCAGCAGATACCTTCAAGCTGCTGGTATGCGTTGACTATAAGTATTGATAGGGGAATATATCAAGGTCGAACTGACAGAACAAGTAGGTTCTCGGATGATTACAAACCTTATCAAACCAGCATCATATAAGCATTAGTTACCATAGCACCACTGTAGGATAATCTCAAGTTAGTTGTACCCATCAAGATGAGCTCTGTTACTGAGAAAGATGCTGACTCGACTGGTATATACTTTACCCTTGCATGTTTCTTCAGACCGGAACAAGCTGGCTGTTGACACGGACGACACGGATGATGAGGGTGTGCCGCAGATCTCACTGCAGGAGATGCTCGAGGATCTCCACATTGCTGAGGATGCAACCGGGGAAGATGGGGCAGACATGATGGAATAAATCTGTCAGTGATGCAGTGTGGCGAGGAGAGAAACTGTCTATTGATTATGGCACATAACAAAACCTACCATGACTTATAGGATTCATTTGATTGAAATTTTTGGATATTTTGTTTTCAAGTTAAGGGAAGAAATTTTGAATATTGGAAAACAACAACAATTATCCTCAATTGTAAATATGCATGTATTGACATTTGTTATATTTGTTGTTGGGATGTTTTAATCTCAGTTATTTTTTATGCTCTTCCAAACATTTGTCATGAAATGTAATAATTTATCCTGATCACTGCTTATTAAGTGCCAGTAGTGAATAAAAACAACAACCCAAATGAACTAACTTTCTCATTATTCCCTTGACATGCTTGCAAAGACTTGGGGCTTACACTTTTCATTCACTCAGAGATGTATCTATGGGGCGGTGGGATAGCCTAGTGGTTAAAGCAATTGCTCGTCACGCTGAAGACCGGGTTTGATTCACCACATGGGTACAGTGTTTGAAGCCCATTCCAGGTGTCCCCCGCTGTGATATTGCTGGAATATTGCTAAAAGCGGCGTAAAACTGAACTCAGAAATGTATGACCCACAATTCCTGGTAACTTGTTAGATATTCTCTAATTATTTCACACAAGGGTGGTGACAGGGCTCCTTATTAGACCTTCTTTTCCAACCACATCAATTGCTGACAGTGGTGTTTATATTGGTTTTCAGTGTTTTGTGCATTTGTACATATGTGAACTGAATACTATGTACAGCTATGTCTTGATAACAATAAAATACTGTTCTAACCAGATGATTGGTCTGTTATGAGCCATATTGGTGTTTGTTGACAATTGTGCTTGCTCATTGGTCAATTGACAACTTAGAACACTGGAAAATTAACAGACATGTGATTTTCATGGAGATAGGACAAAATTTGTGTTTGATAAAAACACTTTCAAAGGTAGATAGCACTAGTACAAAGTTTATTAGAGTAAACCAGTTATGCTCTAAAACCTACCTTGAGCATACTAACTCTAATTTTGTCAAAAGTGGACTTAGAACACTCTGGTTTTCAGGCGACGAACTGGTTAGACCTTGAGTGGACAGGTGTGTATTCAGACCTTTCACTCAAATCAGTACCATTTTGAATGGAGATTAGAGACATCTCCATAGCAGGTCACATAGGAGAACACTCAGCAGACTTGGACACCCCATCTGAATGAAGGGGCCAATCTTGAGCTTATTGGGTGTCAGCTTTCTAAAATGATTTTTTAGCTTCATGTGAAGATTTTGATTTATACAAATGAAAACACACCTCCAATGCTTCATCTGTGTTGCTTCCTTTTGGGTGTGGTTGCCTCCATGTGCAGAGAACCATCATGAACCAACAATTTAAAAGCCTTGATGTTGATTGGCAGATTAGATGAATAGTTCAGGTGTCCTTCTTCACACAAGGTATTGTACTGGAGTAATATGTGTTATGAACTTGGACATATGACTGTTTGTCTCTGCAGTTAAAATCAGATAATTCAACATATTTCCCAGAGTGAGCCCAGTCATAGGATAATGCAAGAGAGGTGTCTATCTTTCAGGATCTCCCAGCAGCAGTAAAAGTGTTATCCAGTAATTAGTGTGACACCTATCGCCTTCCAGAAATTCTGTTCCATATAGAACTAGCAACAGAATGTGTCATGGTTCTTTTGCTTTCATCCATCCCACCTGACAGGACATGATGTGTAACTGAAGTAACAGAAACAGTATGAGATCCAACTCCCTCCCTGTATTCCTGATTCCACCATTCCACTTCAGTAGTGGCAAAAACAGCACGAGACCAAATTAACACCCTGGATTCCTGATTCCACCATTCCACTTCAGTAGTGGCAAAAACAGCACGAGACCAAGTTCCCTCCCTGGATTCCTGATTCCACCATTCCACTGGAGTAGTGTCAAAAACAGCACGAGACCAAGTTAACTCCCTGGATTCCTGATTCCACCATTCCACTGGAGTAGTGTCAAAAACAGCACGAGACCAAGTTAACTCCCTGGATTCCTGATTCCACCATTCCACTGGAGTACTCGTACATGATTATAAATGATTGGTTGAAGAATGTGTCTAATGTGATTCTGACTCGGACACAAACCTGCCAGATTGATAACGCGTTCACCCTCGTGATAAACAAATGACGAACTGGTAGATACGGTTCTTACTGAATTGTTGTGGATTGTGTACCTTTGTCTTCGTAAGATGTTTCAGTGAACCTTGAACCTCACATGACCAGTATGACCGCGGCTTTTGCTGGCAACCAAGTTTTGTGGGCATAGAAAGGAACACAAAAGTCGATGTTGCAGCTAAGGCAACCCTAACACAAACCATTATCTCCATTCCTTGTGAAAGCCATTTCAAATCCACTATCAAGATTTATACACGGGCTTTTATGCACAAGAGAGTAGGACACCCAGGTAAGAACCAGACTTCACGAATTATGACCAACAATTGGTCATACATACTTGGGTTGTCAGTAAAGACGTGACGATGTTGTATTAACCACGGTCGGTTTACACATTCAAGAACATCTGAAAACAAATGGAGGGCGAACCTCCTGCGTGTATCCTTGGGATGACATGTTCACCATATCGCATATTTTGCTTGATTGTGTGAAGTTTGCAATCGCAAGGGATTCTTATCACCAAGCAGTAAACGGAAAGATCTGTTTACCCGTGTGAGGGGGCATCAAATTATAAACCACTTGAGAGAAACTGGCCTGTCATAAATTATAAATATGAGGCACTCTACACTGTCTATGATCTTGAAGTACTCTAATAAATAATTGTCCCCCTGTGTGACTTGTAATTCCTGCCATAATGGGATATTAGGATAAGATATTATATTTGCTGGTACTTCGTGTAACCACCAATTGTAATGTTAAAACGTTCTTTCGTTTGTTGTTAAACCACAGCACTCGTGTGGGCGGGCAATATCCAAACTATATGGCGGCTGTGTGGTCTGTAAATTAATCGAGTCTGCACTCAGCAATATACAAACTATATGGCGGCGGTCTGTAATTAATCGAGTCTGGACCAGACACTCAAGTGATCAACAGCGTGAGCATCGATCTACGTAATTGGGATACGATGGCATGTGTCAACCAAGTCAGCGTGCCTGACAACTCGATCCCGTTAGTCGCCTCTTACGACCAATTCTAACCCGGATCTTCACGGGTAGTTTTTAAATGTCTTTGACAAATTTCTTTTGAATCTGACCGTGAATTCATGATTCATATGTGCACACAAAACTTGTTCTCTTCGCTATATAGCTGAAACAAAGCCGATGCGACGTTAAATCTTAACTCTCTGAAATGTATTTCTGTGGTGACGAGTAATTACTTCCACTGCTGTCATGGGGAATAAGGTTATCGTTTTACACGTGAGCCAGTCTGTGTGCTCATGGTCATGGTGAACCAAACTGGCCTGACTTTAGGTAGCTGTACCCATTATACATTCTCTTGGGCCATTTTTTGTATATTTGTCTGAACATATCTTTTCGGACAGAGTCAGACGAAGGCAATAAAAATCTTTTTGCTCAAAGTATAAGAGTAGATTTGTTATGTGGGAAAATGGCTAGAACTAAGGAACTATTGGCGTTGTTAATGACTATAATTAGTATATATCATCCCCAAAAATAATTTTGTGTGTGGCATCTTGATATTAAAATTGTGTTATTCTGGAGAAAAAAGAAAGAATTCAGTTCAGAATGAGGTTGGCTGAGTCAACAAATCCTAAAATATCAGCACAAATGGCATTCTGTACATGTGTAACTCGAACATACTGCAAAGGAATAAACCATTCAAACTACTTAAAGGGGCGGTGGGGGGGGGCCTAGTGGTTAAAGCGTTCGCTCACCACGCCAAGGACCCGGGTTCGATTCCCCATATGTGTGTGAAGCCCATTTCTGGTGTCCCCCGCCGTGATATTGCTGGATTATTGCTAAAAGCGGCCTAAAGCTAAACTCACTCATTCACTCAAACTACTCAAAAAAGATACCAGTACTTGGTACATTTAAACTGATTGAAGGAGATATACTTGTCAGACCCGTTTTCAGTTCTGTTCTGTCAAGAATTTTAAAAGTGCCGTATGTATCAGCTTAATTCTGTTTATACAAACTGCGTCATTGGACTTATGTGAACCCCTAATGTGATTCTTTTCATAACAAAAGACCATCAAAGAATTTAACAATTTTCCATGTCATTAAAAGAAAAATCGAAAGGCATTTCATCCAAGAGTGAATTTCCTTCGTTCAACCTTCACAGGGCCCGAGGATTCAAGGGCAGGTAACTCTAAAGTACTAACTGGTGTGAAACTGAAACTGAAAGTGTTTTGTAAACATGCACATGTCCATTTAGTTTATTTGATGTCAGAGAATCCGTAGTTTCCATAACTGCAGTGAAAATGTCTGTCTGCAAATTCTTTTTGGAAGGAAGGTGTAAATTCGGCGACAAATGTAGATTTGAACATCCAAGGGGTAAGATTAAACATTACTTTGTTCAGTTTTCGATCAGTTTCATGTTCTGATATATGCGTTGCATAATATATGTCTCAGCATCAATAAGTATCACCACGTTCCATGTTTTATCGGTTTTATGTTTATATTGATAGTCTGATTTTACGTTGCATAAATGTGAATGAGGAATCTATCTTAGAATCTGAGTCATTTACATTTTTAAAATCTACACAATGTTTGGATAATAATGTTGAACATTGGTTTCTCAATGTATTTTACACTTACCTTTATATACGCACCATCTCAATGTTTAAAATCACATTAATAACTGAAAGAGAGAACATACTTTTCTATCAAAGTGTCCAATATATTTCTGTTTATCTATATGACACAAGTATTGCCAAACCTGAAATACTGTTGAAATCTGCATAAAACCAAATTTTACTCTTCTGCCATTACTGAAAAAGTTCGGATCACTTTTAGTAAAAACTACTCTGGAAATTTTGTGTGTGTTTTTTTCCTGAGTAAGATGGATTTTATACTGTGTTTAACAGTATTCCGTCGATCTCATAGTTGGGGGCACCATAAATGGGTTTCACACGTTGTACCCATGTGGAGAAAAGAACCCAGGTCTTTAACATGATGAGCTAACACTTTGACCATAAGGCCTACACACTGCTCCAGTTACATATAAATTGGACCGCCGTGGTGTAGTGGTTAGAGCGTCTGCCCGGAGAGCGGAAGGTCGCGGGTTCGATCCCCGACCGCGTCATACCAAAAGACGTTAAAATATGGTACTTGTTGATCCCTGCCTGGCGCTCGACATTAATGGGTACAACAAGGACTGGTCGGCTCGGAGTCAGTATAATGTGTCTGAGTGGGGTATTCATGCTTCACTGCGGCATGTCATCTCAGTGGGCTAGCACTATAAAACCAGCTTCAGTCTGGGCTAGTACAAGCAGCCGCACATACACATACACACGCATGCACGTCGTCATATGAGCGAAATATTCTCAAGCACGACGTTAAACCCAATTTCACCTCACCTCACAAATAAATTGATCTGTATGAAACTTGAAACTCACTTCCTGTATTCGCAGGGGGACAGAATCAAGGAGTACAACGACAACTGTTTGGTGGGGGAGGTGGAGGAGGGAATCGTGTGACCTTCCGGGACAGTTTTGGGTCGAGTCAGAACACAAGCCAGTACAAGTGGACAGCACAGGACAACAAACAACAAACAGGAAGCACTGCTAGTGCTGATGTTATGTATGTAGCCTATTATGAAATTATGTCTTTATCTGATGTAACATATGTTATATTTGGGAAACATATGTTTCTAAATGGCATTGTGTAATCGTTATCTCATGTCTTGAGATTATAAATCCAAAGATGGGACGTATGTCAAACATTGGAAGACAACTAAAACCTCAAGGAGACTTTCACTAAGACCAGCTTCATTGAGTCTCTATTGGATGGGAACAGACAACTCCAACCTGCTTAAGATTTCATCTTATCATTCTAATATTGAAAATATTAGAAGGGCAAGTAGATTCACACCTTAAATCACATCTTACAGGCAATGCAGTTTACTTTTGAATCATAATATTATGTAACACTTTAGATACTCATGATGACAAGATTACCAGGTTGAAATTACTGAATAAACCTCTCAGAATAAAGGTGCTAACAGATAATCACTGTTTGACAGTCCTGTAAAGGTGAATTACTGGTAAATACGCTATTGTCCATTTGAAAGTTGCTGCATTTATTTGTTTGTATCTTTGCAAAATACTCAATTCAGTTTTTTGGTCCTACCAGCAATGCTCTCCAGGCTGAGATTGAAGTATGGCTGCAATCCAAACAATGGCCTTTCTCCTGCATCTCCCCCGAGAAGGATCTCCCTTGCCTCCCAGGTAACCATGGTTTCCATACAGCGTAAGACCCATGTATCATAGACTATACATTACCAGGCCCAATTCTACAATGTTAGTAGCACCACAATTATCATAATGCTAAGAACGCTGTGTAGATCTTAGTATGCACTGATTGTTACAGGAAGCCTTTGTGTACCTGGCTCAGAACAGGTGTGTAGCACTCTTGTCCTTGGCATAAGAGGTGGCTAAATTTGATCGGTGGTCACCAGTCAGGTCTGATGACTTGGTTCATGATGATGATGATGATGATGATCATCATCATCATATATAACCAGGCTATTTGGAATTAAAATTGCTTATCTTTGAGTAGCCATCTCAGCTACATCATCCCCAGAAAAGAACAGTGGTCAGAAGGGCATAACACCCGGACACCCTGAGGTAAAACATAACCGTAAACCCACTGATAACCCAAGGCCACTGGTTGGTGGAGAACACAGCCAATTATTCCACATACTCAGGATTCCACAAGACTTTCAGGATTGTGTGTATATATGTGCATGGATTTGGTTTTACTTTGTCTTAGCGCCAGTGAGCACCTGTTGATGGATGCTAGACACTTTAGAAATCAATTATTATCATTATTTACATCTCTGTGATATTGCTGCAACATTGTAGTCTAACTGCTGCATGAAGCAATGTCTTCTCTCATCCCCAAATGAATCTGAGACTTCAAATGATAATGAATAAGAAACAGTAATATTTCAAATGGTGTCTTGGTGCTGAACTAATGATGCAGGTATCGACTTGTTGTTGCTGTTGTGCAACTTGTGATCTGTCATGTTTATAGTACTCGTTTTTTGTCTCTAGACTTTGAAGACATCTCTCCGGAGGAGCTGAGATTCGAGGCCTATGCAGCTATCAAAGCAGGAAACATCCAACCCTATGTGAGTTGATGATTTGAGTTGATTGTTAAGCTATTGTTGTCAGTTTCTACCAATTAAATAACTGGAAACGAAATATACAATCACGAGGATGAAGCAGTTTCATGAATTATGTTATAGTCCTTTAAATCAGTCTTAAATAACATTGAACTATTGATCATGAATTTTCATTTCGTTTAAATGTAGAAATGTATGTACTTTCTTTAATGAGACATTATATATTTACAATCGTCAGCCTGACACCCATATTGAAAATCAGAAAATTTAGTTGTTGCCCAATTCCACTTTTATCAACATGGAATCTGACAAGCACTATGTGTTTGATGATGTTTATGAGAAATTATTACACATACTTATAATATATATGTTCCTCCAGCTGCGACCTTGTCCTTGAGCCCCTCTAATTTTACTGCATTTCGGTTTCAAAACTTCACAAGATCTGTTAAATTTTGTTTTGGAAGATACCAGCAGTGGAGTTATTTGATGGTGAAAGTTTAGATTGCATTTTGACATGAAATGAACCTGAAAAGTCATTCAAAACAACGAAACACTTGTTCACCATAAAATGTTTCATGTTCTTCCAATTTCTAAATGCCAGCAAAAGACTGTAATATTTGTTTCTGTCTGAAAAAAATAATGTTTGAATGTGCTTGAGTGTGAGAGACTATATTTTTAATTTGGATACAGATGAAGTCACTAAATGTACACGATTGTTAAAACTGTTTACAAATACATGATATATACTGAAATATGATGATAACATGTATGCACTTTCTGCTGAGTTTACTATACATATAACCCACACAGTGTATTCATGTTACAGGTATCAGGGAATATTGGTCAACTGTTTGGGGAGTACAATTTTATTGGTCATTATGTTTTCTATTTACAGGTTGAAAAGGTTCGATTGCTGTCAGCAGATTACAACAACAAAAAGAATCACCTTAAAAATGCCAACCCATCCCTCAAGCAGAAACTGGTAAGAAACCCAAATATTGCATGGCAACCAAGTTTAAACTGATTTAATACTGACTGTTAAGCAAAATTCTACCTGGAGAACACTGACCTTGGTTTGACATTCCCTTACCTTAATGTCCGTGTTTGATGGTGATATGGTTATGAAAATCAAGGGCAGGTAATTTGTAATCACATGAACCATGGGAATGGGTCTGGTAGTGTATTTTTACTGGATAAAATAATAATAATAATGAAATTTATATAGCTAAATTCAACTGTCAAAATGTTTTCTTTACAGTTTAGCTCTACACTGTTTATATTATTATACTTTGTATCATTGCTCATGCATGTGTTTTGCTCATGACATTGACAAGTGCTTTCTATGGTCAAATGTCCATTATGACATAGCTATCACATGGCAGTATCATTCACTTACTCTGATATTTAATAAGGGTGATAATGTCTTCTTGGTAATTACAGATGCAGTTTATTGAAGAGCACCGGAACAAGAAATCTCCAGGGTAAGACTGGAGGCCTATTTTCAGTAATCATGACACACTTAGTCCTGACAACTTATATATTATGATACTAACTCCTTGTCTTTCTTGTGCCTACCCCCTTGCTTCATGTGGCCCAAGGTTGTGCTGTCAGCCATTATGTGTTTCCATCAGACCCTAACTGGTTAACCTAGGGTGGTAATATCAGATTGAGTATTCTTGTTTGTGTGAGTCTGTAGTGAGTGAGTATTGTTTTACGACACTTTTAGCAATATTCCAGCAATATCATGGGACACCAGAAATGGGCTTCACATACTGTACCCATGCTGGGACTCGAACCTGGGTCTTCAACATGAAGAGCGAACACTTTAACCATGAGGCTACCCCACTGCCCCTTGTGAGTCTGTAGCATGAGTAGATATGTTAACATCGACAGGTTACTGTTTGAAAATTGAATCAGAATGCAAATGGGAAACCCACAAGTACAAGTATGGTGTTGACAAACCTAGAAACATAAACCAGGATTTGAACCAGCAATCAGAGGTTCCTGGCATGGCCAAGGGACACAACTCTGTATAGCGAAGACCCTTTAGACAACAGGTTTGACTTGATTGTGTTTCAAGGTTTGTCTGCACCACATTCGTGCTGAGTGTTCCACCAAAGAGGCAAGTGCCTGAGACTTCATTAAACCCAACTCACTCACCCATTTCCACACTTAAAAATGTGGCTTAAATATATTTGTCATAATTACAAGACTGTTGACCCAGACAGGTATCAAGTGATTTAGACTGGGTTAGAATTGGTCAGTAGCAACCCATGATTGCTGTAAGAAGCGACTAACTGGATTTTGTGGTCAGGCTCGCTGTCATCCTATCTCAATTGCGTAGATCGGTGCCCATGCTGTTGATCACTTGATTGTCTGGTCCATACTCATTTATTTACAGACTGTTGCCATTTAGATGGAACAACAACAAACAAATCAAGTGATTTAAGTTACATTAATGTACGAGTAAAACATATTTTTCAGGGCACAGCCGTCATCATTTGTGGGTGAGTATTATGACAGCTATAACAGTAAAAGGATCATGTTTCAATGCTTATAGGTCAGTGTCTTATCTTTAGACAATGACTAATTCTAAAGCTGCATGACAGGTAAATATGGAAACAGCCCAGAATGAGTATACAGTTTGAGACACCTCAGTAAATGATGGTTTAAGAACACATTTAAGTGTATCATTCTAATTTAATGGGATTTAAATAAGCCAAGGTCCCAGTAACTTCTACTTCAATGTAGGTTACACATGAGAGTTACCTCCCTTGTCTGGATGTACACAGGAATGACATCACTTGTCTTAGTTTCAGTTGCACTCGCCAACAATAGCTGTTTTTGTATCCAGCAGTACAAAATATCTGTTTGACTGCAGTGTAATTTGTCAGGATGTCTTTAAATAAGTAACTAGGTATAAAATGTCTAAATATGCAGTGTCACCAGTCTAGATATTTGTGTTGGATAAGAACAAGGTAGATGTCATGAAAGTCTGAACTCCTTTACTTTCTTTCTGATGCGGTTTGAGCTGCTCAAGGAAATTTCATATCCAAAAAAGAAAACAATTAATTTTAAAAAATAAAAAGCTGAAAGTATGCTTCTTTTACAGGCAACAGCACTTTTGGTGGAGGAGGAGGGTTTGGTGGTGGAGCTGGTGGCGTCTTCGGTGCTCCGTCTGGGAAGTCCAGCAATTCTTTTGGGCAGTCAGCCAACTCCTCTAGTATATTTGGTGGTGGATCATCATCTGGATCAGGAAATGTCTTCGGAAAACCCACAGCTTCCCCCTCGGCAGGTGGAATGTTTGGTCAGAGTAGTGCTGGCTCCTCCTCAATATTTGGATCAGCTCCCTTTGGTTCTAGTTCCAATTCCTCAACATCTGTTTTTGGTGGAGCAACAGGTGCAGGAACTACTTCCACAGGGGCGTTTGGTGGGTCGGGCAGAACGGGGGCGTTTACTGGCAACACACAGACTGCGCAAACTGGTGGGTTTGGTGGCAGTAGTGGTACTGGGTTTGGATCTACTGGAGCTTTTGGCGCAGGGAGAACAGGGGGAGGATTTGGGAGCAGTGCAACCACCGGTGCGTTTGGGAGTTCAGGTGCACCATTTGCCAGTAGCTCAGCAGGTAGTGGTTTTGGTAGTGGGGCTACGACCTCCTCGGGTGCTTTTGGTGGTGGGGCTACTGCAACTTCAGGTGGTTTTGGTGGTGCTACAGCTGGTGGTGGCATGTTTGGGGGAAGTGGATTTAGTGCTCAACAAACTGGGACATCAAGTTTTGGAGGAACCAGTGCAGGAGCATCTGCTTTTGGTTCTACACAGCCAGCAAGTGGGGCATTTGGCACTCCAACAACACAATCTACTGTGCCACCTAGTGGATTCTTTAGTAGTTCAGGGCAGACAACGCCCTCTGCACCAGTATCTGCACCAACACCAACAAATAACAAAATATATACGCCGTTAGCAGACTTAACTGAGGAAGAAAAGGCTCAGTTTTCTGCACCATCATTTGTGCTGGGCAAAATCCCAACCCGACCACCACCACAAGAACTTGTCAATGGAACTGCGGGACGGTAACATCTGTGTACTAGTGGTGGTCCGATTAATTGAAATAATCGAAGATTGGTCATAGTGACTAAACGACCAAGCAATCGATCATAATTTCTCATAATCGAACACAAACAATTCTGGAACACTTGTTTTCATTAACAATATTTTTTACATGGTTGGTTTTGTCTGTTACATTTTGTAAGCACTACAAGCTCGTTTCAAGTCATGATTGAATTTATCTTAAAGATTCCAAGAAATTTATGTTCCTAACATACTAGTCATCCTTTAAAGATGTGAAATTTTGCCAAAAACCCCAGAAGAACTACATTTTTTTCCCCTTATTTTAATGTGCATTAACAAATTTCATAAATGACGCTAACCAATTATTTTCGATGATTGATCGGTAGTAATGAACCAATCATCAATTATGAGATTTTAACCAACAACACTACTGTGTACATGGGTGTTTTTGTAGCAGCAGATTCTTTGTTGACAACATTTGTGAATATTTCACTCTGAATCAAATTGTTCATTGTACATATCATGCTTTTAATAAATTCTTTACATTGCACTGACCAATTTGTTATATCTAAAATACAAGGCAAGTAGCTGGACCTCTAACTTGAGAGTTACAGGGCGGAAATGTACAAGAGGTTTGTCATCAAAAGGCAACAAGAAACTATATGTTCCTGGTGGTTGTCATTGTATGAATTGATTAGAATGTATGCTCAGCAGCCCAGCAGCCCAGCAGCCCAGCAGCCCAGCATCATGCTATTGGTTCACACACTAGCCTCTGTCTGGTGGATTCACTGCTAGAATAGGTCCCCCGCAACGTATGGAGGTAGTGAGAGGTACACTACCGTGGATCACGTGGCCAGCCTCAGTCACTTTGTTTGAATGTGTGTCATTGGACCGTTAGTAAATCCTCTGATTAGTGAGTGAGGGAGTGAATGAGTGTGGTTTTAGCTTTTGGCAATATTCAGGTAATGTCACGGTGGGGACACAGTGTATCCATGCGGGAAATCGAACCTAGGTTTTCGGCGTGACCAGCAAACACTTTAATTGCTAGCTGTGAAGAACCTGAAATGAAACTGAATACCACCATCCTTGTTTTAGGGCAAATCGAAAACTTAGCACAGTTAATGTTGTTGTCTCTGTCACAGCGTCATCATAGTGAATATATTCACTGCTGCGAAGCCTCTAGACATTATTTCGTAATATGCAGATAATGATAAGTGGCTACAGAGAGACACTGGATGACGTCGTCTGTCGGTGTTCATGCTATCATCCTCTAGTCTGCCGGGTCTAGACATTTACAGTCATTATTGCTATCACAGGACAGACGGTTATCTACTTCAGCCTACTTAAGGAATTGTTTGGCTTAGTTATGTAAACATTTGTATTTCACTTATCCTTGGTGTTGGTCCAGCTAGACGAGTTGTAAAATCAAAATAAGGAGAACTTGTGAAATATGTTACTACTCAGTGAAGACTGTCGTCATTGGAGTTGAAAACTGCTCAGCTCCATTTAAGACATCTGCAGATACGTTATCGTGTTGATGTACTTATTATTCTTGTTTACATAACCAAGGTGTTCCGCAAATATATATGGGGCGGTGGGGTAGCCTAGTGGTTAAAGCGTTGGCTCGTCACGCCGAAGACCCGGGTTCGAATCCCCACATGGGTCTAATGTGAGAATCCATTTCTGGTGTCTCCCGCCGTGATGTTGCTGGAATATTGCTGAAAGCGGCGTAAAACCAAACTCAGTCAGTCCGCAAATATATGCAGAGTGAAGAGTGATCAGGCCAATAACAACTTGATATATTCCCGGAATTGATGCAAACAAGACGTATTGATGGTGATAGTAACGTGATGTTTAAAGGAACTGTTTTGGAATGCATGTCCAAATAAAACTAAAGAGCATTAACTTGCATAAAAATGTTACATTAAGATGTCATAAACAAACCATGAAACAAATGCGTACCTCCTCGTTCCATGTAATACATGTAATACACCCTTTACCATATTCATAGTAAGGGCCAGTGGTTACGTTGTTCCCGTCCCTAATGAAGGACTTTGTATCACCAACTGGTCACATGATAATACTGTTGGTTAATAATTCGGCCTTTCACAACTGCCGGATTACCACGTCCATTATTTACAGTGACAGTGGGGTAACAGTGGAATTATCGGTATTTGTTATGGACACTCTGTTGATAGCGCAGAAAAAACACAGCTTTGTTGATAGGGCGGACACATTTGTAAACAACTGCCCTCGAGGAGCCGTTGAGTACATTCCTTCAATGAAACCTTTATCGCAATCGACGCGGTACTTCCTTTTGTTCACTGATCTCATTTATCGATTAACACAATCTCTAAACTGTCTTTTGAAATGCACTGATACAAGTAGCCTTCTTTGAGTGTTATATGTGAGTTGGGTGTGGCGTATGTTAAATGGCCATGTACATCCCAAGCACTGAGCTCGTAAAACGATGTAGGGACGTACACGAATTTTCAGCTTGAAAGTTCTTGTATCCCAATGATATGCACTTGTAACGACTGGTATGACGAGTTCATACGGTGCAAAGACGTGTCATGTGGTATAATATTTCTGCCTGGCAGTTGCTGTTATTGTTTCACAATAAGGTTAGTGTTAATGCAAGCAGTGTAGAGAACGGTCATTTTACCTGCGAACATCTATATTGAATATTTATCATCACCAGCCGTTACGAATCATCTGTTTCCTGTGAATGATTTATGCATTTAATGAGTATCTAATCAAGGAAGGGGCGGTGGGGTAGCCTCGTGGTTAAAGCGTTCGCTCGTCACGCCGAAGACCCGGGTTCGATTCCTCACATGAGTACAATGTGTGATGTCCATTTCTGGTGACACCCGCCGTGATATTGCTGGAATATTGCTAAAAGCGGCGTAAAACCATACTCACTCACTCCAATCAAGGACCAGTGGCAGCATACCAAAAGACGTTAATAGATGGCACTTGTAACCCAACGTAGCACTGTGTAGAGGGATAGAACAAGGACTGGTCGGCTCGGAGGCAGAATACTGTGTCAGAGTATGCTTGTGTGTTAAACTGCAATGTGGAACCCAAGTCGGCTAGCACTATGAAACCAACGTCCGTCCTGAGTAGTTCTAGACACGCACCCACGTACACAAGCAGGCATGTAGCTATAAAAGGGCAATGACCTTGAATGAGACGTTAAACCCATCTTCACCTGTCAACTCCACTTATTCACTCAGTGGGGACAAGAAATAATTTCAACGTAGCTTGTTGCTTCTTCGCTTTATACGTATGGGTCCAATGATCGGATCAATTAAATTGCACAGGAAGCACACGCGCAAAAAATCATTTTACTTACACGCTCTACATGTGGCGTAGTGCAGGTCATTGTTTACGCTCTGGTAGTGTTTAGGGGCGTTACAGACAGTGATATCTTCTCGTTGTTCCACATCCTCGGTCACTCACAGTATCATACCATCATGCATGACTAGAATGGCGTAGTGACGTCAATTCAGTGTGACGTAATACAAAAGGATGTACTCTATCGCTTGATAAAGTGCTGTCGACGTCTTTATTCGTTTAGGGAAGAATATTTGAATACCTTTTATCATTCAAAACTAGCCTCCATTGGGGTGACAGCGAAGAGTGAGTGAGTGTGTTAGGCTTTACGCCCCTTATAGCAATATTCCAGCAATATCATGGCGGGGGACACAAGAAGTGTGCGAGAAGATAGCAAAGCAGTGTAAATGCATCACGAGACCATTGTGACGTTTTCAGTTAACATGGCGCCAAAACCTTAGAGGGTCTCGTGACGTGAAGACATCATATTTTCACTCGTTCTTCATTTCACGAGATGTCAGAGACCTCATATTTCACAGGGCACATAAAATATTCTATTTTGTATATGCTTACAATTTTGTTTAACTAAATTTAAACATTATTAATCCGATTTATTTCTATCAACGAAATCCTCATTGAAAACTAAAGACTGTTCACTTCTTTGTTCAGGCACACAGATAAGACATAGATGGGTATTCGAAATACAATAAAAATCGAGACAACATATATCTGTATCAGTTGCTATCTTTTTGTTTATTGTCTTTGTTTATTGAATTAAAATCAGCACGATCCCTTTGGTCTTAGCGTGAACATTCTAAACACGGTGCTGGCGCACGAATACATAAGGACAAACAAACATGGCGTGAAGAAAGAGAGGGAAGAGTGTGAATGAGAAACACTTCAACTATTCACAATGAGCTTAAATACAGGTAATAACCGCTGTCAGTCGAGTGAAATAAAGTCACTTGTACATAAAATGTCAGTTTTAAACGCTAACAACACGTAACTATAGTGTTATGAACAGAGGTAAACAGACACGAAGCGTAGAGTAGTCTTAACACAACACACTCACTCACCGTCGGATGCACTGAATGAATCGACGATCAGCAGATTGGTAAATTAATAAATATAACATCACACAGATAAGTTGGTAACTGTTCACAAACTGAAAACTGGTTGAAGAACGATATATCATGTTGCATAAAATCTTCTCATGTCTACTGATATCCTTTATATCCACATTCGATAAATATTAACTAAGATATATTTGATAATCAAAAGACAATTTGATGAGGTTCTTTTTAGAGCTCTTTGTCATCATTTATTATCAAGAAGCTAAACTGCTTTCGTTTGATCAAAAGTTTGATCATATTTTTCACTGTAGCTACGCCTCTTATACAAGAGAAGTGGAAGCATAAAATTACCTGTTTGATAAATGCAAATAATGAGACGAAATCCACTGTAATCAGGGTTTTATTTGTGAAGTAGTCATCAGGGTATTATTGTATTGAAGTAGTCATCAGGGTATTATTGGTGAAGTAGTAATCAGGGTATTATTGGTGAAGTAGTCATCAGGGTACTATTGGTGAAGTGGCAATCAGGGTACTATTGGTGAAGTAGTAATCAGGATATTATTGGTGAGGCAGTTATCAGGGTCCCGTTTCACAAAGCGACCATAGCGCTACGACTGTCGTAAGTCTATGTTATAGTATGGGAGTTCCGATCACCTTAGCGCTACGGTCGCTTTTTGAAACGGGACCCAGGGTATTATGCAGTTAACATAATT